CTCTAGTGACGATTCTAGGAGATGTGCACATGCTTAGGTGCAATTTTTGTTCAGAACTGTACCCACTGATCGCCTAAAACCTAGCAGGTAAAGTAGGGAGAAAATATATGTCCTGATCCCACTCTCCTCCTGCTTTCTAATTTCCTACTGATATGTTTGTAAACCCATATGGAAACTGGAGGGGAAGTCCACAGAGGTCAGCTCCCTGGGGAGAAGAGGGCAAAGGAGCCTAGAGCATGGAACACAGTGGATCTTGAGGAACAAATGGAGACTGCCCAGCCCAAAGGAATGCAGGAGTAAAAAACATGTGAAAAACTATGCCCACTTCTTTTATCACCATATCTTGACTCTCTCCATTCTAACACCCAAAACCTCTCCTTCCCAGGAGCGATCTCTAAGCAGGGTGAATGTCTGACAATAACAATGTATTGTTCCTAAAGGGTTTTGGTGGAAGCGAAGGGAAACTGATGGCAAGAGCCCGCTTCTTGTCTTGCAGCCTTCTAGCAGCGGGTGGAGGGAACCGTCGAACTGCCAGTGTGGTAGCGCATGGCTTTGCCAACCTTCTAACACTGGACAAAAAGACCCTCCAAGATATTCTCCGGCACTATCCAGATTCTGAAAAGCTCCTCATGAAGAAAGCAAGGTGCCTTTTCTCTTTAAAATTCCTTTAGCGATGGCATTGACTTCAGCTTGAAAAATGTACAGCTGAAAGAACTGTGTTGTGATTGTAGTATTCAACTTTCTCCATGTGATACTCTCAACACAAAAAAAGATGGCTTTCTTGGTCAAATTTTCCCAGAACTCAAACCGAGCTTTTCTCTCCCGTTCACAGAGTGCTTCTAAAGCATCGGGCTCATACCACAGAGACAACACCTCCTAGAAAAGGACTCGCCTTTCTCTTCTCGGCTAAAGAAGACACACCCAAAATGTTTAAAGCTCTGCTTGGAGGCTCGGGGAAAGCAGGTCTTGCAAGACTACTCAAATTGAAGAAAGAGCAAATGGCACAGGTAATGCCCATTGCCATCCCACTAGCTTCAACTCAACAGGAGCCCTCTAGGGCAGAGTCACACTGCCACACAGCCTAGGGTTTCTGAGGTTATAAATCCTTCAGGGAGCAAACTGCCTTGTCTTTCTCTTGAGGAGCAGCTAGCGGGTTTAAAATGCCAACCTTTCAGTTCGCAGCTCTGGGCAGCACCCACTGTGCCAACAACCAAGGATCACTGCTCAGGTAGTAAGACAAACTTAATGCAAGGTTCTAGTGGAAAGACAACGGGACTAAGTGTCCACGCCAGCTCTAATTTCCATTCTATTTCAGATGCTGTGGTATTTGGATTAAGTGACTTCTACTAGTTACTATTTTATATCCAGCACTTGTCATTTTTAAAGCTATATCCCAAATATCATCATATATAGTCCTCATAGGTTTATTATAGAAGGGTGTGTGTGTGTGTGTGTGTGTGTGTGTGTGTGTGTGTGTGTGTGTGAAGAGAAAGCTACAGATGTGAGAGGACTTCAAAAAGTTCATGGAAAATGGAATTAAAAGAGCATGGAATTGTCTGTCCATAAACTGTTTGATGCCCCATCATAGATATATAACTCTATAACCCATTTTACCAAGAAGCTAGCAAATGACATGTTCACATGTACTCTAT